TATATACATGTATATATATATATATATATATGGCCCTCATTCCCTCACCCTAAACCCTAAACCCTAAACCCTATACCCTAAACCCTAAACCCTAAACCCTAAACCCTAAACCCTAAACCCTAAACCCTAAACCCTAAACCCTAAACCCTAAACCCTAAACCCTAAACCCTAAACCCTAAACCCTAAACCCTAAACCCTAAACCCTAAACCCTAACCTAAACCCTAAACCCTAAACCCTAAACCCTAAACCCTAAACCCTAAACCCTAAACCCTAAACCCTAAACCCTAAACCCTAAACCCTAAACCCTAAACCCTAAACCCTAAACCCTAAACCTCTCTTACCTATATATATTTAAACCCTATAGTCAGCAAATCGACCGGCCCTGTTGGTCACTGGCCCTCCGGCCAATCCTTCCAGATCGACCGGCCCTGTTGGGCACTCAAGGGTCTGGCCTTGTCCTGGCCCACGCGCGCGCGGCCTTGGCCTTGGCCTTGGCCACGGCAAATCGACCGGCCCTGTTGGGCACTCAAGGGTCTCTGCTTGGTCTTGTTTTAAACCTTAATGGCAGCAAATCGTCCAGATCGACCGGCCCTGTTGGGCACTCAAGGGTCTGGCCGTGTGCTGGCCCACGCGCGCGCGGCCTTGGCCTGGGCCTTGGCCCTTCCAAATCGACCGGCCCTGTTGGGCACTCAAGGGTCTGGCCTTGTCCTGGCCCGCGCGCGCGCGGCCTTGGCCTTGGCCTTGGCCCTTCCAGATCGCCCCCCCTTTCCCGCCCCTCCCCCCCCCGGCTCTTCTTCTGGCCTCTGCGGGTCCATGACAGAGTGAGGTTGGAGGACAGGGCTTGCTGATGAAAAATGTAAACTTTGTATTTGTATTTCTTCATGTTTTGGGATTCTCTGGGTGGGTGGGTTTTTTTCGAGAGCCCAAACAGTTGCTCTACTAGAGATTGCTCGACCCGGAGCTGCTGAACCCTAAACCCTAAACCCTAAACCCTAAACCCTAAGCCCTAAGCCCTAAGCCCTAAGCCCGAAGCCCGAAGCCCGAAGCCCGAAGCCCTAAACCCTAAACCCTAAACTTAACTAAACCCTAAACCCTAAACCCCAAACCCTAAACCCTAAACCCCCATTCCCTACTAAGAACCAGGGGGTTGTTGGCGCAGCTGCCGAGGCTGCCAAGTTGTACAACATGCCATCGTCTCTGTCAACTCCAGCCACCCCACTCTCCTGGCTTGGAGAGGCAAATTCGGGTTCAGGGTTTTAGGGTTTAGGGTTTAGGGTTTAGGGAGGTAGGGAGGTAGGGTTTAGGGCTTCTCTGTGAGGGGACTGTCTGCATCCTTGTAGAGCAGCTGCGCCCTGGGCCGTTTTTGCAGGAGTTTGGCGGAGCCACGAGCTCGCGCGCGACCACGCCAAGGGCTTTGTTCTAGCAATCCAGTCAAAGAAGCATCTCCTACTCGGGTTGGCTGTTCTGCTGTGTTCTGTAAACCCTAAACCCTAAACCCAAAACCCTAGACCCTCACAATTGTGAACCTGCCTTGTCACTGTCCAAGGCCCTCGCCACGGCATGTGTCTCCAAAACGCAGCGCCTCGGCACCCAACTCGGCGCGAGGTGGGGCTCCCAACGCATCGATTCAAGGGACTTTCCAAAGAATGAGGGTGTACCCTTGTTGGTGTTCCTTTCATGAGGGTTGTAGTATTTTGGGCGGGGGTGTATAATGTTGACTTCGCATTAATAAATCCCCCCTCCCCCCCCCCCCCTCCCCCCCCCCCCCCCCCCCCCTCCCCCCCCCCCCCCTCCCCCCCCCCCCTCCCCCCCCCCCTCGCCCCCCCCCCTTCCCCGCCCCCCTCCCCCCCCTCCCCCCCCTCCCCCCCCCCTCCCCCCCCCTCCTGTTGATCAATCTTTTCGGCCAGGCCTCCTCAATTGCATTCTATTCGCCTAAATCCTGGTAGGATTTTCTATTAGTTTTAGTATTAGGTAGTAGTAGTACTAGAAAAAAGAGGGTGATTTTATAATTGTGGGGGCGAGATTATTGTGTTCCGGCCCCGGGATTTTATAATTTTAGCGGGAACCGGTAATGTGAAGTCAACATTAACGGGGCTCCCCTATTTTTGGGGAACTCCCCTAAACCCTAACTCCTAAAACCTAAATCTTAAACCCTAAACCTCAAACCCCCAAACCCTGTAGCCATTTACGGCTTGGGTTCAGGGATCTGGGTAGAGGGGGATCCCAGCCAGCAAGCTCGGAAGCCGGATACTCTGAGTGAGAGGGGTCAGAGTCCAAGAGAGGTTTTTTTTAGGGTTTAGGGTTTAGGGGTTAGGGTTTAGGGCTTGGGCGAACAGCATCATCGTAGCGTTCGTCGCGCAGCCTTCCAAGGGGAATGCCCCGGTACCAAACTTTTGCTCAGTTTTCTAATCTGAGGCTCCGACAACCCTAGCTCCTCAAGTCTTAAGCTTAAACCCCTCGCCATCCCCCTCTACTCCTCTCGCTTTCCCACTCCCTTCCCTCTCTTTCCTTCGCTTTCACTCTTCTCTCTCTCTCTCTCTCTCTCCTCCTGCCCTCCCTCCCTACTACCTCCCTAAACCCTAAACCCTAAGCCCCAAAACCCTAAACCCTAAACCCTAAACCCTAAACCTTAAACCCTAAACCCTAAACCCTTTCGCGCCAGCGCCGCTGCGGCCGAACTCTGGGGCCGCGCTTCGACAGTTCCGTGCCGAGCTCCTGCGCAGAGAAGGCCGGGGGGGGGGGGGGGGTGGAGGGATGTTTTTGGGGTTTAGGGTTTAGGGTTTACAGTAGGGTTGGGGGTTCAGGGTTGCAAGTTTAAGAGAGAGAGAGAGAGAGAGAGAGAGAGAGAGAGCTTGGCAGGGGTTAGCAAGGCTATTGTTTCGGAGTTTTGTGTGTGTTCATGGCTTTGGATTTACCCTCCAGAGGGATGATCACGCGCAAACGCGCCCGCCATTTCCATCGGTATTTACGGTGTTTTTTGTGGTTTGCATGCCGAAAGCACCGGTGGGCGCAGTGTTCTTGTGCCAGTAGTCCATGACCTGATTCTGCCGACGGGCGCCTTTTCCGTCCAGCGAAAACCATGTTTTTTTCGGTGTTTTCTGGGGGGGGGGTGGGTGGGGGGGGGGGGGCAGTTACGTTTGGTAAGTGAGTGCATACAGGGGCATGAGGTCAACACCAACCTGACACATGAGGCTCTGCGTCTGTATCGTGCAGCACGTGCCGGTCTTCTGGGGTGCGAACCTGCGCACTTTTTCGATGCCAAGCATGACAGCAATTGGCTCTGTTAAGCGCCTCTGCACGTGGAGGGCGTAGCGAATCCCTGAAAAAATCCCCACCTTTTGATGAGGTTTGCTGTGTGCCGTGCGGTACGAATCGCTCGGCAGGGGCAGTGTTTTCGGCATTCCCTCATGTTTCCGCGCGCGTGAACATCCCTCTGGCGCGATCAATTAAGGAGCTGGACCGTAGTGGAGCTTCGTGCTGTAGTCAAATATAGGACGTTGAGCTTAAGGGTTTAGAGTCTAGAGTTCAGACTGGTACGGCTTAGTCAGCATCTGGGGCACCGATCCAACGCCTTTCCGTTTTCGTTCTTTTGTCAAAAGTAGGTGTGAGGCTCCTCTGTACGCGGACCCCACTGTTTCGTTGTGGCAGTCTAGCACTGCCCTCCGAAGTAGGTGTGTCGGACATCTTGCAGCACTACTGTTGCGACGCGAATTCTTACGATTTAGGGTTGCCGGGCTAAGCGTCAGTTATGGCACAACGACAGACATAGATCCCTTGATTGGGAAAGTGTGTCGGTCTGGGTAACTGAGATCCTGAGTGGAATCACCGCAGTTTGCTTCCTGCTTCGCAAAGTGGCTGTATGTTCATTGTCATGGTTCGGATGTGCAAAATTCGCTGACAGGAGTTACCAATACTTCGAGGCTTATGTCATATTCGGATCCCGATTATACATTCCTTGGTGAAGATACATGTGGCTTTTTACCCTAGACCCTAAAACCCTTTGGGTAGATTTTGCAGCCACAGGCACCTTTGCTGCTGCTTGGAGAAGAGTTCTGGACAGCGGGCGGCTTAGCACGCGAAGAACAGCCATGCTTTGCCCGTGGCTGAAACCCTTAAAACCCTTAAAAACCCTTTAAACCCTTAAAACCTTTAAACCCTAAGGGCTCTTTGGCGCGATTTTTGCAAGGCAGAGGCAGAACGAGGGGGTTTCTTGCTTCCTGGTCGCTGACTAGATGGGGGTACCCTTTTTGGGGTCCCTCTACAAGGAGGTTAGTATTCTATTTGGTGTATAAAAGGGGGCACCCCGATTTTGGGAAGGTCGGAATAATTACAAGTAGTATGCCCCTATGGCCCCTATATAGTTGTTCTACAACAACCCCCAAAAGCCTAAACTAACCCTAAACCCTGAACACTAAACCCTCCCTAAACCCTAAACCCTAAACCCTAAACCGTAAACCGTGAACCCTGAACCCTGAACCCTAAACCCTAAACCCTAAACCCTGTTAAGGTCCCTCTTTTACTGCATCTGAAGGTGCTGGAACGGGCTTTGTGACGCATGCCGAGTTCTGCGAAGCGTCTTGCCCTCAGTTGCGATGTACTTTTGCCTGTAGCAACCCTTGAAGCCCTAAAACCCTACATCCCTAAGACCCTAAGACCCTAAGACCCTAAAACCCTAAAACCCTAAACACTAACACCCCAAAACCCAGCAACCCTAAAACCCGAAAACCCTAAACCCTAAGGTTCTGGCGGGTGCACGGGTATTGCCCCCCCTCTCGCGTCAAGGGCACCCTGAGCCCAAACCAGCTTGGCGGGTGCACAGGGTTTAGGGTTTGAGGTTTAGGGTTAGGGTTTAGGGTTTAGGGTGAAAGATTCGGCGTCTTGTTCCATTCCTCGCCCATCTGCACTTCTGCTTCAGGGTCTACCGTGGCATTCATCTTAAGCCGGATCTATACGACAAGCTGAACCCTCTGCGCACTTTCCGCCTGAGAGGTGCCGCCGCATGAACTATCGCGGCAACATAAGAGATGCCTGGCACGAGCTTGATGCTGATGGCTCCGGAAAGGCTGGGATGATCTGGAAGCTTCAAAATTTAGAGCTTCTTGGGGAAGAGGGCTTAGTTAGGGTGGATTCTGTTTTTTGAAGAGGGTGTTGCGTCTGCGGGTGTTTGGGTTTTATGCCTTAGGCACCTCGCAGCAATCCGCGTCTGACCAGGCCACGATTTGTGAGCTGGATTGGCCAACGGCTGAGGCGCCAAAGATGGGCAGAGTAAGTTCATGAGTGTGAGTGAATGTTGTTAGGTATGCCCGATATGATGCCGTATGCTATTGTGCGCCATTTCCACTATTGTATGTAAGAGTGCGCGTAGGTAGGTAGGTAGGTGGGTAGGTAGGTAGGTGTGTAGGTACGCCGGTAGATATGCATGCGTGGATGTAAGTATTTGTGTGCATTTAAATGTTATGTAGATTGAATGTACTAAGGTATATACACATCGACAGGTTTCTTCATGCATAAAAAACAAGTAAATGAATGAATGTAAGATAATGTACCGCATATATGTATGCATGGTTCTATGTATGCATGTATGTATGTATGTATGTATGTATGTCCAGATATTGAATGTTGTGCCAGGGCCTGTCCAGCATCGGCACTGCCTGATGCTTCAGTTGATTCTGCTCATCTGGCTGTTTGGCTCAACCCTCAACCCTCAACCCTCAACCCAAAACCCGAAACCCAAAACCCTAAACCCTAAACCCTAAACTCCAAAACCCTAAACCCTAAACCCTAAACTTTGATGTGGGGACTGCAGGCGCTGGGCAAGTTCACGGCGGCGCTCGCGTCGCGCTTCGGCAGTGTGGAGCAGGCTGCCAAGAACTGGGGCACGGACCTCAGTGAGACGAGGACCTCCTCACACCCTAAATGATTGGAATAGGGTTTTTGGGGGGGTTCTTCGAAATCATTCCGACCCCTATATTAAATTATTCACCTATATAATTACACCCCATTAAGAAACCCGAGCATCTCGGAATCCAACAAGGGGTCTTAGACGGCCAACATAGGGGCCTGAGTAATTAGAACAGGGTTTTGGGGGCTATCATAGTATAGTTATAAAGGAATACTAGTAGTAACTAGTCCGACCCCTATATTGGACGGGCCTACGGCTCAGGCCTGCGTGGCGGTCGCCGGCTTCGAAAAGAGGAGCCGGGCATAGTAATCCTAAACCCCACGGCCCAGAAACCACAAACGGGCCTAAAACCCAAACCCTACACCTGCCTACCCCCCGGCCCCTGAAAAGTACCGAAGCCCTAAAGCCTAAACCCTAAACCCCAAACCCCAAACCCCAAACCCTAAACCCTAAACCCCAAACCTTAAACCCTAAACCCGTTTGTGCAGGACTTCCGGTCCCTCTCCAAAGGCCTCCTAGAGCCACGAGAGGCGGACAACATCTTCCGAATGAAGCTCCGCTTCTAGTTTGGGGGGGGGGGGGGGGGGTCAGGGTTTCGGGAAAAGTCTATGGTTTATAAGTGCTTTAAAGGGTTTAAATTTAAATGGGTTTACAAGGGTTTATAGGGGGTTTATAGAGGTTTTTGAGGGCTGACAAGGGTTTTAAGGGTGTAGGGTTTTTGGGCCCTCTCTTTGGGGGAGTCCTTTGCTTAGAACAGCTCTCTACTGGAGAAGAGGCAGCTCAGATCTCCGTTTGGGGGTTAGGGTGTTTGCGTAGGGTGCAGCGAAGAGTTTGCTTGGCTTTTGTAGAAAGGTCATAGCTGCCATAGGACTGCATAAGGACCGCGGTCACTGTCCAGCCGAGGATTTGCTGCCATGATACCCTAGCCAGGCCATCCGTTCGTGCCGAGGACTGCGCTCTTCTTTGTCAGGCGTTTGGGATTGATTCTTCTGGTTTGGGGACCTAAACCCGAAACCCGAAACCCTAAACCCGAAACCCTAAACCCTAAACCCTAAACCCTAAACCCTAAACCCTAAACCCTAAACCCTAAACCCTAAACCCTAAACCCTAAACCCTAAACCCTAGGTTTTAGGGTTTGGGGTTTGAACCCTTAACCGCAAGATCATTGTCTTCAAGGCTTCGGGGCGGGTTCTTTGGTGCAGAGGGAAGAGACCGATGACATGTTTAGGGGGGACAGCCTTCGAACTTACAGGGTTAGAGCTTAGTTTAGAGCTTAGGTTTTCGGGTTTAGGATTTAGGGCTTAGGGCTTCGGGTTTAGGGTTTAGGGTTTAGGGTTTCGGGCTTGGCAGGACCTCCGATGGCTCCAGCAGCTGACCCCGTCCCTGCCGCGCGCTGCTGCGAACCGGGTGGAGCCGGGGTGCGCTGGCGGAAATGGTCTGGGGAGCTTTGGGGGTTTAGGGTTTAGGGTCTAGGGTTTAGGGTTCAGGGTTTAGGGTTTAGGGCCCTTTCAGAAGGTCACTTCTCTAAAATCCTTTTGGGGTCCTGAATATAAGGCCTATTTAGGGCAGCCCAAAAAGGGAGCAGAATTTGAGAACTGACCTATTTAGGGCAGCCCAAAAAGGGAGCAGAATTTGAGAACTGACCATATACCCTCAAATCATAATGGGCATCCATATCCCCCTTCATGAAGGAATATTGAGCTTAAGTCATGAGAGGCATCCCTGTTACATTTTAGCGCAGAGACCCTGAGGGGGTAAGGGGCTCCTAGGGTCTTTTGCCCTGTCCCCAAAGTGGTTCTGTCCCCAAAGTGGTTCAGGTGCTTAAGGTTTGGGCTTGGACCCTAAACCTAAACCCTAAACCCTAAACACGAAAGCCCCAAAACCGCACTTAGGCTTAGCACCATCCCCCCCCCCCCCCCCTTCCCCCCCGCGAGCCGTGGCAAGGTCGCGCAGGGTTTCAAGCTGCCATGAAGCCAGTGCGTAGGTTTGTCTAGGCCAATTAGATTTCAGGGTTGAGGGTTTGGGGTTTAGGGTTTGGGGTTTAGGGTTTTAGGTTGAGCAAGGTCCAGGACCCTGCCTGCCTGACCCGAGGATGCTCGCGGTCGAGCAGTCTGAGCCAGGGCCACAGCATGTGAGCCGGTCATGCCCTAAACCCTAAACCCTAAACCCCAAACCCTAAACCCCAAACCCTAAAACCTAAACCCTGAACCTTAAACCCTAAACCCTCGACCCTAAGCTCCTAAACCCCCTAAACCCCCTATACCCCCTAAACCCCCTAAACCCGAAACTTCCTCCAACCCTGAACCTCCTTAAGACTCCAGACCCGAAGCTGCTGGGGCAACGGTTCTAGCGCACGCAGGCTGGATTTCCAGATGCCGGGTGCGCTCGCATCACCAGAAGGTCCCGCTGCAAGCTACATCCCTGCTGTCCACGCTAAGCCCTATACCCTAAACCCTAAGCCCTAAGCCCTAAACCCTGTCCAGCTACCATAAAGAGACCTGCCCTCAGCCAAGCACTGAACGCTCAACCCGGAAATCTACACCCGAAACCCTTGCCCCGCCAGAGCCCCAAACCCTAAAACCCGAAAACCCTCAAAAAGCGCCGTAAAACCTTACCCTCTCAAAAGCAACCCTAAGTAGCCCCAAACCCTTAAAAGTCAACCCTAAAAACCCTAAACCCTGCTCTCAAAATCTCTCAAAGCCCTTGATTGTGGCCTGTGTCAGCTGGTGATCTGCCCGGCCCGTGGATTGCCCAGCCCGGCGAGACAAGTCCGAGGACGCTGCGCTCATGCTTGGGCAGCTTGATCTTCGGCTTTTCCTTTCGGGTTGGTCACGATCCAAAAGGCTAAGCCCCTAAACCCTGTAAGGTACCCTAATCCCTAAGCCCTAAACCTTAAACCCTAAACCCAAAAGTAAACCGTATAAACCCCGCCAACCAACCCTAGACCCTACAAGGTTGGACCCCTGGGCCCTTTGGGATGGTTCCCTTTCCCTTGTGTATAGGGATCCGAAGTATGGGCTCTCAACATATAGAGTGTATGGAATACAAGGGGCCCAATTAAGGGCCCATACTTGGAACCCTGAACCCCAAGCCCTAAACCCCAGACCCTACACCCTAAACCCAAAACCCTAAACCCGAAACCCGAAACCCGAAACCCGAAACCCTAAACCCTAAACCCTAAACCCGAAACCCTAAACCCTAAACCCTAAACCCCCCGCCCCGAGTGGAGGACCCCACGCACTCCGCGAAGTGCTTCGCAGCCCCTGGCAAAGAACCAGGCCATGCCATCCGAGCATTGGAGGTCTGGTTTAGGGTTTATAGGCCCTAAACCCTAAACCCTAAACCCTAAACCCCAAACTCCAAACCCTAAACCCGAAACCCTAAACCCGAAACCCTAAACCCTAAACCCTAAACCCTAAACCCTAAACCCTAACCCTAAACCCTAAACCCTAAACCCTAAACCCTAAACCCTAAACCCTAAACCCTAAACCCTACGGGTTTAGGGACTCTCCAGCAGTCTTTGCAAAGCTTCGCGACACCCTCAGCTGGAATCTTGCAAAAGGGCCCTGAGCCCCAAACACAGTGCAGAGTGGCTTGGGGTATAAGGAGGGGCCCCTTAGAAGGGACCCTTAATCTTATTTTCCAATAGAACGACTATATATACTGTACCTTATATAGTCCCTAAATACCTAAGTAGCCCCGAAATAGCCTCTGAATAACCTGTTAACGTCCCTCATAAGGGTTCCTCCTTGAGTCCGTTGAGTGGCGCTTTGGTGTTTCGAGGAGCCAAAGGACGAAGAAGGGACCAGGTGGACCAGGGAGGACCTCTTCGTCCGACTCTATCGGGAGGCCGGGGCTGCGTTCTCATGTGGATGCATCCGCCGAATCCGGATTGACAGGCCAAAGACTTTCACAAGAGAAAGCAGGACCGGGGTTTAGGGTTTAGGGTTTCGGGTTTAGGGTTTAGGGTTTCGGGTTTAGGGTTTAGGGTATGGAGTTTAGGGTTTAGGGTTTAGGGGTGTGGAGTGTAGAGCACTTGAGCCGTGAGGAGAAGCACGAGAAGGAGGGCCTCTTCAAGAAGCCCGATCCCAACCTTTCCACCGCACAGAGTGGGAACACTGCAGCTTGGGCTCTACACTGGCTTTGAGAGGCTGTTTGGGCTAAACGCTAAACCCTAAGCCCTGAACCCTGAACCCTGAACCCTAAACCCTAAACCCTAGACCCTAAACGGCCCTAAACCCTACACCCCTGTTTGCCACCCCGCCCCCCCCCCCCCCCCCCCCCCCCTTCTTCAACACAGAGCCCTCTATAAAAGCTCTAACACAGAGCCCTCTATAAAAGCTCTAGACCCTATACCCTAAACCCTATATAAACCCTAAACTCTAAGCCCTATGCCCTAAGCCCTAAACCCCTAAACCCTAAACCCCAAACCCCAAACCGTAAACCCTAAACCCTAAACCCCAAACCCCAAACCCAGCTCAGGAACACTTCCAGCGCCTTTACCGACAAGGCCTGGCCCACAAGGCCCAGCTTGAGGAGAAGCGCAAAAGACTCGAACTTTGGCGTGATGAGGGTTCAGGGTTTAGGGTTTAGGGTTTAGGGATGTTCCCCCTTATACTAACAGTCCTGAATGGGGATCTGGGGGTTTCCCCAAAAATAGGGCTGTTCCTTCTTGTTTGTTTGTTTGTTTGTGTGTTTGTTTGTTTTTTTTTTTGCTTTTAGGGTTTAGGGTTTAGTTGGCTTTTGTAAGTTCACGACGCAAATCCGGTCTCCAAGGAGCGCGAGGCTGCCGAGCACTTTGGGAAGCCCCGTGAGCCCAGGAGCCTCGGTGGGAGTTTAGGGTTTAGGGTTTAGGGTTTATGCACCACGAAAAATGACCATTGCCCACGAAGAAATGACCATTGCCCACAAAGACTATTATAGGGTTTAAATACTAAACTGAACGGAGGTTTAGGGTTTAGGGTTTGGGGTTTAGGGTTTTGTGTATCTTTTCACCATTTCCTTTCTTTGCCTTTATCACCGTCATGGGTTTAGGGTTTAGGGTTTAGAGTGTGGGCACTTCAAGTGCTTGATTTGTGTTCTTGAAGGGCGGGTCTGCTGACCTGTCATCGTAATCATTTAGGATGTTCCCCCTTCTACTAACAGCATCGTACCCCCCCATGATAATCCCGATGAAGGGTTGTTAGTATACGGGGGGAACATCCCAAGTTATCATTGTAATGGCTATGGTCGCTGTCGTTGTTGTTGCTACGTTTATTGCTAGAACTATTACAAGCCTTTTTTCAGGATAGCTAGTTCTCTGCAACTATGCGTAGTATTCGGATTGCGGTGATGATTGCTACGCATCGTTTATATTGTCGTCTCTGTGATAGATGGTTGATGTCACCTGTACTGCTATTACCAATATTGTCAGCCTTAGCACTCTTATCATTCCTTCACTCTCATGGCTTAGATTTTGGTTGCAAGTTTCACCACTATTCATCACCATTAAAGTAATTTTCGCAAGTCGATGAACATCCCGCCCCTGGCTTGCCTTCGCAAAGCCGAGGCACGTGACAAACGCACAAGTCAGGGTTTAGGGTTCAGGGTTTAGGGTTTAGGGTTTAGGGTTTAGTGTTTAGGGTTTGGGGTTTAGGGTTGTTTTATGGTTTCGTTTTTGAGGGTAGGGCTTAGCCTTTGCTAGGGGTACATTGTCAGTGGGACCACCCATTTGCGTTTGCGCTCCTACCAACCACAATGCACATCGTAGACTGCTGCTTTCACGGATGGGCTACTTCTGATCTTACATCGATTTCTGATTGTGTGGTCCTGGTTTTCTGATCGTAGGCATTTACCAATGCAGTGTTTACCTTGTTACCTTGTTTTCGGATAATGGCCTTCTGACTCCTAATCGTAACCTGTGACAGGTCCCAACTTTTAGAACAGCCACCAAGTACACAACAACAAGCAGTCCCAGGAGGGATGTTCCTTCGTGGCTCCACAAAGCCAAGCCGGACCGGATGCAGGGGTGAAAGGGTCATCAGCGTTTAGGGGCTTCAACTGCTGCTTCAGGGCGTCTGGTCTCGCTCATGTGAAAGTTCTGTGCCGTGTAGGCCAGCTTAGTTAATGCTGGTGCTTTGCCTTCCATGAAATAGAGCCGATAGGCGACCAGAGTATGACCTGTTTGGTGTGTGTATATGTGTGTGTGCCTGTGCTGAGTATGCTACACAAACCCCACGCGCATGAATGTTCATGTAGCAGATGGAGGCGGTTGGGGGTCAAGGCAGCTTCGCGAGCCCCGACTTCAGAGGAAGACCGTTCCCTGCAAGGACTTGTCGGCAAAGCTGCAGGAGCCTGTATGGACGAGGCTGCAGAAGCCCCGCGAACCCAAAAGGGAGGAGCCCCCTCCTGTCGCCACTGGGCCAGCAACCATCAGAGAACGCACCGCGTGATGAGGTCTTGTGAGCTGACCTAGATTACTTGGAGGTTCATCGTACTTACTCAACAATTATGACTGGGCTTGTAACCCTACTTATAAGTGGGATAACCCCTCTAAGGCCCTTTAGGGGTATTATAAGTAGGGTTGTAAGTACAGTTATAATTGGTTAGTAAGTACCATGAAACTTCAAGTAGGTGTCCTTGCATGTTGCTTGCCCCAGCCAACCAGGTAACTCCTCGACACCTGACGGTCGAATCCGTTTCAACTGCGGCGTGCCGGGCTGACGTGGTGCGCCATTGCGGTACAAGTCAGTGGGTGATGGGTGAGCTTTGGGTATGTGCTGAGACCTACCTCAGCAAGAATTAGTTTGTTGTGGATCGACATGCCACATGCTGTTAAGCGGTGACAGCCCAAGCTGAAGCCACGCCCTGTTTAGTTCAATGCAAGTGAGGGCTTCCATAGTTAGGGGTCCCTTATTGAGGTCCTATTTTAAGGGAATCCTATTACTATTTCGGGGGACTCTATTAGGGCCCCCCCCCCTTCCTATTTTCTTCAACCCCCAACCCTAAACCCTAAACCCTAAACCCTAAACCCTAAGCCCTAAGCCCTAAAGCCTAAACCCTAAACCCTAAAGCCGAAAGCCCCCCAAGTCTACAAACTGCCGGGGCCATTGCAGGCAGCGGCGGCAGCGGATCGCCTCTACTCGCAGGCCCAGAAGAAAGAGCGGATGAGGAAGAAGAAGGAGCTGGGGTTTAGGGTTTCGGGGTTTAGGGTTTAGGGTTTAGGGTTTCGGGGTTAGGGCTTCTAGGGGGGCAGGGGGCGATCATCGGGGTTTAGGGTCTAGGTGAGGGTCTAGGGCCCAAGCTTGCAAGGCCCTTTGTAGCCCCGGGGGGCTCATGCGAACACCCACTCAGGGTGTGACAAGGTAAGGGCATCGAAGCCCCGAGGTGAGACACTTCGTACCTCGGGCTAGGCCCTGACTGGGCCAGACAGTTGTGTATCGACCGTAAATCCGAGACCCCAAAACCCTCAACCCTAAGGTGCTGCGTCTGTCAACCCTAAACCCTAAACCCTAAACCCTAAACCCTAAACCCTAAACCCTAAACCCTAAACCCTAAACCCTAAACCCTAAACCCTACTAAACCCTAAACCCTAAACCCTTCGAACTGCTACATGGACGCCGGAGGATGCCGAGGATGGGCTGGGGGCCATTCAGGAGAAGAAGGACAAGGACCGGTGGGTTCACGTTTAGGTTTTAGGGTTTAGGGTTTAGGGTTATAAGGTTATAGGGTTACATAGGGTTTGGGGTTTAGGGTTTAGGGTTTAGGGTTTAGGGTTATATAGGGTTTAGGGTTTAGGGTTTAGGGTTTAGGGTTATAAGGTTAGAGGGGTACATAGGGTTTGGGGTTTAGGGGTTGAGAAAGAGAAGGACAGAAACCCCCACGAATTTTTTAGAGGCCCTGGTAGGGCCTGAGCAGGAGATAGGATGTCGGGGCTTGCGCATGTTTTGTCTTTCACGCAGGGAGGAACGCAAAGCAGATTTCTGAGATAAGGGTGGGTATTCGGCTCCGAGCTGCAAAGTCAAGACTATATCCCCCTTGGGAATTGTTTTTTTATTCCCGTTTATGTAAAACCCAAGAGGATATTAAAGATACTATTTTTATTAAGGTTCGAAGGCGAGTATAGAAGAACAGGCCACTGAATGCTAGACACGGAGGTTATTCTGAACCTAGATCCCCTGACGGGTTTCATTTATGTTGGACCCCCTTTAAGAACGGCCCCAGATCCCCTGAACCCTGAACCCTGAACCCTGAACCCTAAACCCTAAACCCTAAACCCTAAACCCTAAGCCCTAAGCCCTAAGCCCTAAGCCACACATAAGACAGCCCAGGAGCTCAAGCTTACCAAGGAGCGCCAGAACGATCTGGCTGGGAAGCCTAGGGGCCTGGGAACATGTCGTGGATCGCCCTTTTGAGTTGTGGGTTTAGGGTTTAGGGTTTAGGGTTTTGGGGTTTACGGTTTAAGGTTTGGGGTTTAGGTTTTAGGGTTTCGGGCAAGGTCCAGTGGAGGCTTGAACTTGATAAGGACCACTGGAAGAGGATCGCACCCGACAGAAGTGCCCATAGCTATACTTGCTAGGCGCTCGTAGCACATTGCCTGCCATCAGCTTGAGCTTCAGAAGCGGGGCAGTTTCCTAAAGGTTGAGTCAGACATACGGCTCTCCCCCCGCCCCCCTCCTGCACCCCACCATGTCAGACGCATCCAAAACAGTTGCTTACTTTGTCTCCTCCTGTACTCCCTAGTTCCTTATGGTTTGGACCCCTAACATAGATCTCAAATAGTAGGAGCCCCTTATGATAAGGACCCCAATAAGGTCCCCCCAAATATCGTAAACCCACTTGTGCACAACATGCGCTACTCGACGAAGGTGCTGCGGCTGCACCACTATGGGCAGGAGAAGCAGAAGGAGGACTGCCCCCAAAACCCCCAAGAGCCTTGTAGAGGCAGTGTTCTTTAAATAGGGCCCTGAACACAAGGGTCCGCACCATAAGAGGCACCCCGAGAAAATGACTACAACTTAGACAGGCGACCGTACACTGAATCCTTAAGCCCTAAGCCCCTAAACCCTGCACCCCTGGACACAAAAAGCCCGAAGCCCCAAACCTTAAACTTGAAACCCGAAGCCCTAAGCCCTAAACCCAAGCCCCACACTTTCTCTGTCTTTCTCACGAAAGCCTGTGTGCGCCCCCAACAATGGCCTTCACCGGCTTGACACTAAACCCTAACTTGGGATGTTCCCCTTATACTAACACTCCTGAATAGGCGGTACTACAATCCATATTACGGATTGTTCGTATAAGGGGAACATCCCTAAACCCTAAACCCCAAACCCCAAACCCCAAACCCCAAACCCCAAACCCCAAACCCCAAACCCCAAACCCCAAACCCCAAACCCCAAACCCTAAACCCTAAACCCTAAACCCTAAACCCAACCCGGAACCCTCAAACCCAAACCGCCCGCCCCGGCCTGCCCTGCAAGGCAATGGAGAAGCGCGAGGTAGCTCGAAAGGCGCAGGGTTTCGGGTCCATAGGGTTTTTTTGGGTTTTCAGGGTTCAGGGTTTAGGGTTTAGGGTTTAGGGTTTAGGTATAGGGTTTAGGGTTTTCAGGGTTTTTACAGGGTGCATGCCTTGAGGGGTTTGGGGTTTAGGGTTTAAAGTTTTGGGTTTGGGGTGTAGGGAGCTAGGGCCGAGCGACTAGCTGGATCGCTGCGACTGCCAGGCACTACATGCGCGGTTTTAGGGTGCTTTGGGGGCTAGGATCCACAACCCTAAGCCCCAAGCCCTTAAACCCTAAGAGCCAAGAAACCAGAACCCTTAAGCCCCGAACCCTTAAAATCTCGATCGCGAACACGCGAAAGCACTCGAACTCCTTAAGCCCTAAGACCCTTGAAGCCGTACATCCCTAAAGCCCTTCCTTAAGCCCTCCCAAGGCCTGAAACCTAAAGCCCCCCATACAAAAAACCGTAACATCACCCCCTTGAGGCCCTAACACGCCCCCTACACACTTATCACCCCCCCTACACTCCTTACCAAAAAAGGAACCCTCAAGCCCGCCTGCCAAAGCAAAAAGAGTGGCAAAAGCCCCTAATCCCCTTACAACCCTAAACCCGAAACCCTAAACCCTAAACCCTAAACCCTAAACCCTAAACCCTAAACCCTAAACCCTAAACCCTAAACCCTAAACCCTAAACAAAAGGAACCCTCACGCCCCCGCCTCTCAAAGCCAAAGGAATCGCAAAAGAGCCCCTTGGACCAGGCTGCCGAGGAGGAGGTTCGGCAGCTGGCGGACCGGCGCCGCGGCAAGGGCAAGGCCTCCTGATAGCAAAGTGGTATTTTTCCGGTTTTCGAAGTTTCGTTTGGTGGTTGAGTGGGTGTTTAGGGCAAGTTTAGGGTTTTTAGGGTTATTAAGGGTGTTTCGGGGTTTTGGGACTTTCAGGGGAGTTGTGTGTCTTTTGTGTTGTAGGGTGTTTAAGGCGTTGAGGGCTTTTACGGTGTTTGGGGTTGAGGGTTTTAGGCTGGGATGTTCCCCCTATACTCGCAGTCCTTAATAGGGATTATAGTGCCCCCCTATTATATTCCCTATGAAGGACTGTTAGCTCGGAGATTTAGGGGCTTAGGGTTTTGGATTTAGGAATCCTGAAGGCTTTGTGTTTAGGGTTTGGTGCCGTCCTGAGACCTCATCACTGGATTTTGTCCTAAACGCTGGCTGGGGCACTTTTTGGACCTCCAGTGCGGTGATTTTTCATATGGGGTTTCCGAAATATTACAACAGGGAATCCTACTATTTGGGATCTATGTTGGGGGTCCCCTGTTTTCGTAAACCCCCGTATAGGCTACCGAAAAGGGGCCCGCAATCATCAAGCCCCCACGCGCCTTTGCCATGGAGCACTCTGCAGCCCATAAACCCCAAAACGCTAAACCCTCAGCCAGTTGGCATGTGAATATTTATTTCCCAAAATGGGGGTACCCTTAACATGCCCCCAAAAGAGTATGCTCCTGATTATAGGGACCCCCAAAAAGGTACCCCTATTTTCGAAAACCCCCGCATGTGAATGAGCTGCAGGTGCGGCCGGAGACCTTCTTTCGCTTGCATCTCGAAGCTGTGGCGCAATTAGGGGCTTTCCGAAAAAATCGGGGTACCCTTGTTGGGGTAGCCTTCAAGGGGATTCTATTTCCATTTGGGGCGGAAAAGAAAGTACCCCTGTTTTGGGAAGTGCCCATTTCAAGACCAGGGTGTAGGGTGTAGGACGCAGGAGTTCCTGGCCGTCTTTCAACTTCCCTTGGTTGGATGATTGCAAGCAATTTGGGCAGATTTGCGCGAGCTGGATATGGCGGAGTCAGAATGGCCCGCAGTGAAAATGGCCATTAATGCCCAAACACTAAACCCTAAGCTCAAGAGCCCACACAGGTGCGGTAACTCCTCAAACCCGAGACGGCATGCTTTGCTTAGGATGGCTTGCAGAGGTGCGAAGTGTGCGTGCTTGGGTTTGGAAATCGGCTTCCGCAGTTGGGTGTGCATAGACTTAGACTGCTCAAAGTTTACGTTTGACACGGCTGCCGATAGAAAAGGCCTGCTGCTCGATTCCCACTTCGTTGCTCGCTCATTCAGCTTCGGCGGCCCATCCACGTCCTGTTCAGGGATGAGGCTCTGGCCGAGCGGCGTCGGATGAAGGAGATGGAGGAAGAACACAAGCTGAAGGCGCTCGGAAGCTGTGACATTTAGGGTTTAGGGTTTAGGGTTTAGGGTTTAGGGTTTTAGAGTTTTAAGTTTAAGACCTGGGCATCATGAGAGCATACACCCGCGGAAAGAGGCTGCAGGGGCCTTGGGGCTTAAGGGCATTGGAGGGCCAAAGCCCTGAACGCAAAAAACCCTACACCCTACACCCTACACCCTAAACCCTAAACCCTAAACCCTAAACCCTAAACCCTAAACCCTAAACCCTAAACCCTGAAACCCTGAAACCCTGAAACCCTAAACCCTAAACCCTAAACCCTAAACCCAGCGGAAGTTTGCGGCAGTGCCTCCATGCCAGGCCGAGAGCATCCACTGCAGAGCTGCTCCGAACCCCGACGTCTTCAAGATGACCCTCGGCGGAGCAACAAAGTCCTGGGGTTTAGGGTTTAGGGTTTAGGGTTTAGGGTTTAGGGTTTAGGGTTTAGGGTTTAGGGTTTAGGGTCTAGGGTCTAGGGTCTAGGGTTTAGGGTTTAGGGTTTAGGGTTGGGTTTAGGGTTTAGGGACGTTGGGATGTTCCCCACTAACAGTCCTTAATGGGGATTATAGTACTCCCTAGTAGAATCCCTATTTTAAGGACTGTTAGTATAAGGGCGAACATCCCAAAGAATATGAGAAGTAGAAGCCACATGAGGTCTTAGCCCCAAAGCCTCCCTTGCCCCTCTACTTGGAGGTTCCTGGTACTTATTAACCAACTATAGCTGTACTTATAACTGTACTTATAAGTGTACTGGTATACAGTTATAATTGGTTAATAAGTACCCCTAAACCCTAAACCCTAAACCCTAAACCCTAAACTCTAAACCCTAAACCCTAAACCCTAAACCCTAAACCCTAAACCCCAAAAGGCCAAGCTGGAGCCTCTGGGGGTGGCCGAGGCTTCACTCGTCCTACCGCGCCAAAGAGGGGCGTGTCGCGTGCGCCTCAGCTCGTGGGTTCCCTTCGGGAAGGAGTGAGGTATCCTATAGAACTATAGAATCCTTTAAAGGGTATATATAGGGGCCCAAATACCCTATATATATATATATATAATCCTTTAAAGGGTATATATATATATAAGGGCCCTAATACCCTATATAATCCCTTAAAGGGTAAAAATAGGAGCCCGGTTCCCTGAGGGAAGGAGTGAGGTGCCCTATAGAACTATAGCATCCTTTAAAGGGTATATATAGGGGCCCTAATACCCTATATAATCCCTTAAAGGTTATATATATATATATATAGGAGCCCCCCAGAAGTTCGTCGAAGTTCTCGTGGTGGTTCTCGGAACTCGACGATGCCTTGCGGCCAGAAGGTGAAGACTGGAGAGGAGGCCGAGCTTGAGGCTGAGGCCGCAAGCTGAGTTGAGCTGAGCAGCCAAGCCTCGCACTCTTCTGCCTCGGCGTGTGCAGTGGGCTCGGCATCATGTCGCATGGGATGACACGTCTATATCCCCCTTGGTTTTTTTGTTTATATAAAACCCAAGAGGATATTAAACATACTGTTTTTATTGAGGTTCTAAGGGGAGTATAGTCGTAGGGCGTGCTGTGCAGGAGGAGAATGCCTCGGAGGGCGTTGAGGGGTCGGAGCACTTCGACACCGGAGCCGCGCAGGAGCACTGCGCTGCAGTTGCGCACGCGATAGAGAGCGACAGAGCGAGCGAGCGAGAGAGAGGCTCAGAGACACAGAGAGAGAGAGAGAGAGAGCGAGTGAGAGAGAGGGAGAGAGCAAAGGAAGAACCAACAGAAGAAGAAGAAGAAGAAGAAGAAGAAGAAGAAGAAGAAGAAGAAGAAGAAGAAGCATAAGAAGAAGAACAAGAACGGTTCGGCCAGGCCAACATTGACCTTCTTGCCTGGCAGAGGTCCAGGCCTGTTGCTCAGAGCCTAATGGAGCTTGAGGGTTGAGAGCTTAGGGTTCAGGGTTCAGGGTTTCGGGTTTCGGGTTTAAGTTCTAAGCAAGTGGCTCCGCTGTGCACAGGTACCCTTCTCCGGAGGATGCAGGCTACGATGCCGAGCCAGATCCCAGGCAGGTGATCTGCTGACGGATAGTCGGGGCTACCGGGATCCGCATTCAACAAACCCAAAGCGTCCATGTACCTACATAATATACTTGGGCCTTAAAGGGGTCCCCATATAGTAGCTTTAGGGCCCAAATATATACTATATGGCTGCATGGACCCTTAGGAAAAGTCCGAAGCCATGTGATATAGATAGCTTCCTTCCGCGGTTGGAGTTGGATCTCTTACAAAACTTGGGGCGTGACTCCCTCCTGGCATCCACTCCCTGGCGAGGCCCCGTCTGTGCGCGTTTCTATTCTTACATTTTAAGGCTTGTAAGGTTCCCCTTTTGCAAAAGGACCAAAGTCTAGAGAACTGGCCATGCAGCTTTGCATGGGCACGCTTGTGATCTCCTTGATGGAAGCGAATGCTTCGACAACCCCTGACCCAAAAAGTCTTCTTGATATGCGGCCATGCAGCCATACAACCGCAGTTCCCACTTGCTCCCGAGGCTGTTCAGCAAGGTACCAGCACAGACCACCAACAAAGTACGAGCAGTGCCAAGGGTGGGAGTGCATAAGAACCTCACAATCATGCGATTGAGGCGATCATGCCATAATTATTGGTCTGCCCTAAACCCTAATCCCGACATCGGTCTCTCGCCCTCAGTCTGTTTCAGGGAACCAGCCGAGCGACGCAGAAGCACCGAGGAGGACATGCGCCCGTTTAGGGTTTAGGGTTTAGGGTTTAGGGTTTAGGGTTCGTCAGGCAATGTATTGCGAGTGTGCGAGAACCTCTAGTGCTGGACAGCGGGAACATGCATTCAGCACATGTTTGGAAGCAACTCATGGGTCTGAAAGGTTTAGGGTTTAGGGTTTAGGGTTTAGGGTTTAGGGTTTAGGGTTTAGGGTCTGAAACCACCCAGATGTCCGCAGCCCAGGCAGCAGCAAGCTACCAGTAAACGCCCAATCCTCTGAAAGAATTCACGAACACACGCAGGGTACGCCGAGATGCAATGCAAGCCTCAACCCTAGCTTGCTACCCACTTTCTCTTTTTGCCGAGGTGACGGCAACTGTCCACTCTCCCGTGCACCCCTCTGCGGTGGTTACCTTAACCCTAAACCCTAAACCCTAAACCCTGAACCCTAAACCCTAAACCCTTGGAGATCCAAGCTCGCAGACCCGCGTCCTGTTCACAACTGAACGCTACAACCCTCAAACCCGAAGACGTTCTAAAACTTAAACACCCCCAAATCCTGAAGCCCTAAACCCAAAACCTAAACCCCCCAAAAGCCCTGAAGCCCTAAACAATCTCAACGCCCTGAAGCCCTGCCGAACGCCTCCAGGTTTACAGGGTTTAGGGTTTGGGGTTTAGGGTTTAGGGTTTGGGGTTTAGGGTTTAGGGTTTAGGGTTTAGGGTTTGGGGTTTAGGGTTTAGGGTTTAGGGGTTGGGGTTTAGGGTTTAGGGTTCAGGGTTTAGGGTTTAGGGTTTGGGGTTTAGGGTTTAGGGTTTAGGGTTTAGGGTTTAGGGGCACCAGGACCGGACCTCCACGTTGCAGGAACTCCGTGAGGCGCGGCGCAGCCGCCAGGCTCCGGCCTCGGGGCTTGTGGGGTGGGGTTTAGGGTTTAGGGTTTTGGGTTTAGGGTTTAGGGTTTAGGGTTTAGGGTTTAGGGTTTAGGGTTTGGGGTTTGGGGTTTGGGGTTTGGGGTTTGGGGTCTGGGGTTTGGGGTTTAGGGTTTAGGGTTTAGGCTTTAGGGTGTTTTGAGGGGCCTCAAGAAATCCAGGGCTTAAGGTAATTAGGGGTTTAGGGTTTAGGGATGTTTGGGGTTTTGGGATGTGGGTCCTTGTTTTATGGGAATCCGACTATTTGGGGGACTCTTTGAGGGGTCGGTTGTTTTGAGGGGCTCAAGACATTCAGGGCTTAAGGTAGTTGGTATTTGGGGTTTCGGGTTTCGGGTTGTGGGCCTCAAGAAGGGCTTAGGTAATTAGAAATTAGGGTTCGGGTTGGGGTCCCCCATAATATGGCACGGCACGGTTAGAACACGGACCCCAAGAGGGACACGGAATTTAGAGAACTACCCCCCCCCCCCCAAAAAAAAAAATAATGAGAATAAGAAAGAATAATAATAGTAATAGTAGTAAAAAATAAATAGATAGAATACATTAACCAAATTAAGATCCTAGATGCTAGACCCTAGGCTCATGTAACCTTATAACCCTACGTCCCAAGTGACATGAAGCAGGGTTTATATTACTGTCTTTGGTGAGTGTATATAAGGTTCCTTTTGAATATTGGTGAGTGTATATATAGGGTGTCCTTTTGGGGGTACAAGAAATATATACCCTACTTCACATGCCTTCTTCCAGGTTGCAGCCAAGGAGGTCAACGACTGGATGGAGACGCAGAAGCGTGAGCTGAAGGCCAGGCGATGCCATTCGTTGCCCTGCGGGCGGGTCCCTAAACCCTAAGCCCTAAACTCTAAACCCTAAGCCCTAAACCCTAAACACTAAACCCTAAACCCTAAACCCTGAACCCTAAACCCTAAGCTCTAACACCCTAAACCGGGGTGCTGTTGAGAAATCATAAGCAACCTACCTAGATCAGGATGGCGCAACTTTAGTGTTTAGGGTTCAGGGCTGAGGGACTTAAAGTAAGTTATCATGATACATAGATACTGTACAGATTCGTGTACAAGATTCACTCCGTCTTGATGCTAACTTTCGTGAAGTGTTCAGCAGCCCAGCAGCCAAGAGTCTTCGCACTTGTAGTTCTGGCAGCCCTGAGCCCAACAGCCCAACAGCCCAACAGCCCAACAGCCCAACAGCCCAACAGCCCAACAGCCCAAAACCCCAAAACCCCAAAACCCCAAAACCCCAAAACCCCAAAACCCCAAAACCCCAAAACCCCAAAACCCCAAAACCCCAAAACCCCAAAACCCCAAAACCCCAAAACCCCAAAACCCCAAAACCCCAAAACCCCACAACCCCACAACCCCACAACCCCACAACCCCACAACCCCAAAACCCCAAAACCCCAAAACCCCAAAACCCCAAAACCCCAAAACCCCAAAACCCCAAAACCCCAAAACCCTAAAACCCTAAACCCTAAACCCTCTCATCGCAGGCCAGCGAGGAGCGCTTCAGGAGAGCCCCGGGCCCGGGAAGATGCCTTCAGGGGCCCCTTGGGTGGTGCTCTATGTTCGGGCCCCTTTTTTGGGGGTTAGGGTTTAGGGTTGAGGGTTTAGGGTTTAGGGTTTAGGGGGTTTAGGGTTTAGGGGGTTTAGGGTTTTTGGGGTTTAGGGTTTTTGGGGTTTAGGGTTTAGGGCTTAAGGTTTAGGGTGTCGGGCTTGGGGTTTCGCTGAATTATATAGTACAGCACTCTCAGAATAAGGACCCCTGAAAAGGGGACCCTCATCCAGAGAACTACCCCATGGTCTGCACTGGCTGCATGCTGCGGGGGTTTTCCCCAGTTGGCGGTACCCCTGGGCTTCCCGAAAAAGGGATGATGGTGATTTTTGGGCGCCTCAGGGGTGGGGAACCCCCCCAAGAATCCCTAAACTCTAAACCCTACGCCTAAACCCTAAACCCCAAACCCTAAACCCTAAACCCGAAACCCTAAACCATAAACTCCCATGTGGAGGACGCCGCCGGGCGCCAGCATCACACCTGGCGACAGGTGCGCTGCGACCTCTTGATCTTTGGCAGACATTCCCAAAGAGCCCACTACTGCCATTTCCTCAAGAACCCCCTAAAACATACAGAGTAATAATCTCTATATTGCCCTTATCGGGAAGAATGTGTTTTCTTTTTTTTGGGCTTCTCAAGCAAACAGTAGACTACCCTGAGTTTATAGTAGGGATCCTAATAATATGGTTGAAGGTATAGTTTACTCTTCGGGCAATGTATGTGTTCGTGCATCGGCATCTGTTGCTCTCCGACCGCCTCTGGCAGGCCGGCGGAAGCATCCCTACAAGGCCATAGCGCGCAGCAGCCCCTTCGGGAGATCGGGCATCCCACACCCTAAACCCTAAACCGGAAAGCCCACACCCTAAGCCCCAAACCCTAAGCCCCAAACCCTAAACCCCAAACCCTAAACCCTAAACCCTAATGCGCCAGCAGGCGGATCAGAGGGCGACGAGAGGGCACTCCAAGCGCTCCTGCAGAGGATCTCCCACCCCTTCGGGTTGAGGGCGTCGCGCTGATAGGGGGTTTAGGGTTTGGGGTTTAGGATTTGGGGTTTAGGGTTTAGGGTTTGGGGTTTAGGGTTTAGGGCTTGGGGCCACCTGTGCTTTCCTAACCCCAAGAGCCATGGGCTACCACCCTGTGAAGCCCTTCACGACCCTTTGAACCCTACACCGCCCACCAACTTGGCAGGAGACCCGGCTCGGTGCCAGGCCTGGATGTCGAGGGCTTCCCTTGAAAGATGGCGGGAGGGTTTAGGGTTTAGGGTTTAGGGTTTAGGGTTTAGGGTTTAGGGTTTAGGGTTTAGGGTTTAGGGTTTAGGGTTCAGGGTAGGGTTTAGGGGGGCACTTGCCTATTTTTTTGGGGTCGAAAGGACGTTTAGCTTGAAGAGCAAGGTTGCTCCAGGTAGGAATTGGGGTTTGGGGTTGGGTTTGTAGCTCAGGGTCGCACTGGGGGTGGGGGGCGGGGGGGCGGGGGTATGTGGGTTAAACCCTAAACCCTAAACCCTAAACCCTTAACCCTAAACCTAAACGGCATTGGTAGCAGCGACCGCCTGGGAGCGCGATGCTGGCCAGGCGGCAAGCGCCGCTCGGTGGCCGCTGCCCTGCTCTCGAAGGAGCTTTTCGGCTCTGACGACGAGTGGCCTGGCCTTTCATCACTTGGTCATAGTTGGATAACATGTTTTTTTCATTCTTGAGGATACTTAAACCCAATAAGGAATATTAATTTAATTCTTTTTACTACGATCCCAACCATGAACTAGATCATGGCTTCCCAGATCTTCCAAGACCCCTGAATTAAGGAATAGGCCCTAATTTTTTTTTTACTAAGGATCACTATTGTGAATCAGGGTATATTAATTAAGGAAAATGCCCTAATTTTATACTCACTGTTATGAATCAGGGTATACTGTAGTCCTTAATTCAAGGGTTTTGGAAGATCTGGGTTTGTACTGCGGGATTGGTTTAGGGTTTAGGGTTTAGGGTTTATAGGGATTGTGGTCCCAATGCTGCTTCGGATGGCAGAAGAGGGGGTGCCATGAGTCGATGTTGCCTGGTGATGCCAAGAAAGATCAGCAAGCATCAGTCGAAGTAGGGTTTGGGGTTTGGGGTTTAGGGTTTAGGGTTTAGGGTTTAGGGTTAAGAAAGTAGGGCTAGGCGGGTCCAACAGCCTCAAAGGAAAGAGGAGCCACTGCCCTCGCACTCTGTGCCGCAAGCTCAGATGACCGAGGTTGCAAGCCGCCCCCACCCGTCTGGATCCATGTTACTGTTTCTTCTTACTGGACAAAAGAAGGAGTTGCTAAAAGATTTTGATTTGCAATACACTCCCCCCCCCCCCCCCCTCTGTTTCCCCCAATCATCGGATAAAGCTAGCCGCCGTCCACAAGCCAAGAGCTCCAGAGCTGCTCCACGGCAGTTATGGGGCCCTTTAGAGGCCAGATCGGGAGTGGCATGCTTGGTGCAGTCAGTTTAAGATGCGGAACTTGAAGCTTACATTTTCTGGGGGATGTTGCGCCACAAGTTTCCGCTTGGTATGAAGCAAGCTGCGGCGACAAGGCTTGTAACAAGGGGGGCAGGCCCCCGCCACACCGAATGTTGAGCCAGAGCCATTTCGGACAATTCCGACGTACTCTGCTACTTGTAGTTGGAAGTGCGCATTAGAGTTCCATGGGACCGTATGCCCGGCCCAACGTTTGTTGCCCTAAACCCTAAACCCTAAACCCTAAACCCTAAACCCTAAACCCTAAACCCTAAACCCTAAACCCTAAACCCTAAACCCTAAACCCTAAACCCTAAACCCTAAACCCTAAACCCTAAACCCTAAACCCTAAACCCTAAACCCCAAACCCCAAACCCTAAACCCTAAACCCTAAACCCCAAACCATCCTACACTTTTCCTAAACCCTAAAACCTAAACCCTACGTAAGGAAAGATGATGATCCCCTCTGGGGTGCCGTCTCCGACATCGTCTCCTGGAAGCGGAAGGCTGCGCCGAACAGAGCTGCTTGCTCGTGGTTTTTTTTTCTGGGTTTAGGGTTTAGGGTTTACGGTTTAGGGTTCAGGGTTTAGGGTTTACCTTTTGCGGGTTCAAGGGGTATGACTACCATTTGCATAAGAACCCCACAAGAAATCAAAGAGAACAATCCCTATGTTGCCCTGATAAGTAGTAGATATGGGGGGTTGTTTACTTCAAGGGGTATAACTATTATTTGCTTAAGAACCCCCAAGATAACGAGCCCTAGAATGCCCTTATAATTAGTAGATATGGGGGTTTAGGTTATCTCATTCGTGTGAGGACGTTGGACTGAGGGCGCTGTAGAGAGATCTTATAGCCCTATCAGATCACCGCCGCCCTATTGAACCACGTAGCCCGCACTGCTCAGCTTGTTTCAGGACCCTAAACCCTAAACCCTAAACCCAAAACCTAAACCCTAAACCCTAAAAGGGGGTGGGGGGTAGGGGGGTAGGGGGGTTGGAGGGTTGGGGGGCAGGGGCAGCCGAGCTTACCATGCCCCACGTCAGTGGAGGCAGTAGTGGCAGGTGTCGTTCTACGAGGGTTTCCGAAAACAGTTTGGGTTTAGGGTTTAGGGTTTAGGGTTTCGGGTTTAGGGTTTAGGGTTTAGGTTCCGAAAACAGGGTGCCCTTCTTGGGGTCCCTTTATAGGGGGTTTCGATTCTACTTGGTGGATAAAAGGGGTCCCCCTATTTGGGGAAATTCCTGTGCTTTGAAATTCCGAAGCCCTAAGCCCCAGCTCGCGATTGGAGCATGCTCGAAGGATGCAGCAACTTGAATGCCAGAGACTCTGGCAATGGCCCCAGCTTCTTGTGCCTCAGTGACATCAACAAAGCCACCGCATATTTGCGGGATTGAAACCAGGGTTCAGAAGAGTAGGCTGGAAGAATGCCAAGTTTGCCGTTTGCTGCACTGTTACTGCCGACGGGCTAGCATTGACCAGCAGTTGCAATGCGAACATCGGCAGGGCAGGTCGTTGTGATGTGATTAGCCTCGGATCCACATGCTCATCATGTAACATGACCCCCGCCCAAACTAGGTGATGCTTTGAAGCTGATGCTGTCACTTAGGAGTCGCGCCTCTGACGGGATCCTCTTCTTGTCCTGATGGATCTCCTCATTTAGGGCTTAGGATTGTGTCACCGTAGAAGAAGCTCGCTTGCCTTGTCAGCAGGACGGGGGAAATCATTGAAGCTTAAACCCCAACAGCATGGCACTTGCAAGCGAGCTTCCTTTGTTAATGCCTGCAGTGCCGCTCGTGGGTCGTTGCTCAGACAGCGAAAGGCGAACCTAACAGTACCTGAAGTTAAGGGTTCAGAGTCTTAGCCCTAAACCCTAAACCCTAAACCCTAAACCCTAAACCCTAAACCCTAAACCCTAAACCCTAAACCCTAAACCCTAAACCCTAAAACCCTAAACCCTAAACCCTAAACCCAAAACCCCTGCACCCCCTAAACCCTAAACCCTAAACCCTCAGGCTTGCTGAGGAGCGACCCACACATCGGCATCCCACAGCGTGACTCTGTCGGAAAAGATTCCAGGCACAGGTCTGTACCGGCCAGTGGCTCTCAGAAGGATGAGGGAAATCAATCGAATCGGGTTTAGGGTTTAGGGTTCAGGATTTAGGGTTTAGGGTTTAGGGTTTAGGGTTGAGGATTGAGGGCTTAGGGTTCAGGATTTAGGATTTCGGGTTTAAGCTCCAGACTCCTTCTGGGTGATCGCCGGCTCACTGCAAATCCTCTCGCCTTGTCCGGGCCTGACAGACACGGAAACCGTGCTGTCATGCCATCGGGGAGCCATCTATGCACCTTATGCCGCGGTGGGCAGAAGGAGTGCGCAGATCAGGCACCAGCAAGGATGATGCTAATCCCCAAACCCCAAACCCTAAACCCCAAAGCCCAAAGCCCTAAACCCTAAGCCCTAAATCAAGCCCCAAACCCTAGACAGCCTTGAAGCCCATGATTCTGCTCACCTTGGCTTGGGTCGAGTCCGGAGCCTCCTGGCATTCTTGGTGAGGGTTAAGGGTTTAGGGTTCAGGGTTTAGGGTTTAGTGTTTAGGGTTTAGGGTTAAGGAGTTGAAGGGCCCAGAACCCTTGAAACCGCGGAGCCACGAACCCACAACAAGCCCTCAAGCCGTGTGCCCTTCAACCCCTAAGGCCTAAGCCCAACCATAGACCCTAAGCCCTAAACCCAAAACCCTATAACCCGAAACCCTACACCCGAAACCTCAACCCTAAACCCTAAACCCTAAACCCTAAACCCTAAACCCGAAACCCGAAACCCTAAACCCTAAACCCTAAACCCTAAACCCTAAACCCCTAAACCCTAAACCCTAAACCCTAAACCCTGAACCCCTTAAACCCTAAAGCCTAAACCCCTAAAAACCCTAAGCCCTAAGAGCCCTAGGGTTGCCTGCAGGGCTCCCGGCTGGGCTCATTTTCAAATTGGCCGAAGAGCGCCCGTTACCCACGCAAAGGGCAGTGCACGGTTTGGGATGTTTAGGGTTTAGGGTTTAGAGGGTAGAGGGTTTAGGGTTTAGGGTTTAGGGTTTAGGGTGCGCACATTAGTTTTTGTTGCCAAGGGTTGGTCGTAGGTTGTTAAAGATGCATTTATAGATTTTGCGGCGGTCCGTGCTTGGTCATGCAAGCAATCTACTGCAGATTGCTGCAGTGGTTTGCGTAGCAGCATAGGCTTTCCTGGCGCCGTTCCAGTGCTGCACAGGAGCTGCTTTTGCCAACCAGACCCTTGAGAGGGAGGCGCGTGCTCCTAAACCCTAAACCAAAAGCAAAACTAAACCCTAAATCCTAAACCCCTACCCATGAACCTCCGAGTAGACAGGGCTTTGTGCATGCGCAGCCTCCTGAACCCTAAACCCTAAACCCTAAACCCTAAACCCTAAACGCCTGAACGTCCCGCCTGAACGTCCGACTTGAAGCAGGTGGCCGTGTCCTTGGCTGCGGTCCAGGCGAAGGCTTGCGTAGCAACATGGGGGGGGTTAGTAAGGGAGCCCTAGTATAGACCCCGAATCCCTTAGAATAGTGACCCCAATAAGGCACCCCGAATTTCGGAAACCCCCACGTCTTGGTGAGATGTCGGCCGCGCGTTGATCTTGGCTGGTTTTTTTCTTGATCTTGGCAGGACCACGGCGCGGAGAAGGGCCTTGGCGAGGCGCCTTCTGCGCGTGGAGTGGAGCCGTTCCCTAAGGGTCCATGTACCTCATTATTGCATACTTGGGCCCCAAAGTCCCTATATTATAGGAGGTACTTTAAGGCCCGAGTATTCCCTATTTAGGTACATGGACCCTTAGGGATTGTGCGTCTCAACAGCGACGTTACCGTTGCATAGCGGCTGCGGAGATACCTGTGAGCTGCCAATCATATCCATGGAATGTACTGCCTGCATTTTTTGACGTGTACCGCGTCTCGGTGGCTGCCAGCCCTAAACCCTAAACCCTAAACCCTAAGCCCTAAGCCCTCAACCCTCAACCCTCAACCCAAAACCCTAAACCCTAAACCCTAAACCCACCCCAGGTACCCTGTCGAGCTCGAGTGGATGGGCTTCAGCCGGGAGCAAGGCTGGGTCTAAGAGCTTTTGACTGTGAGCGCCTACTCACCTGCAAGGATCGGGATGCCTAGGGGGGGTTTAGGGTTTAGGATTGAGGCTTTAAGGTTAAGGCTGTTGAGGATAGAGGGTTTAGGGTTTAGGGTTTTAGGATATAGGGTTTAGGGTTTAGGATATAGGGTTTAGGGTTTAGGGCTTTTCGGGTTTAATTTTAAGGGAGCTGTCCTGTTCTCAGTGCAGGTATTCGTTCGTCTTGGCCGCGACCAATGCGCTCGGCACAGGCCATAGACTCATACTTGGAGATTCATGGTACTTAGTGACAGGGTTTAGGGTTTAGGGTTTGGGGTTTAGGGTTTAGGGTTTAGGGTTTAGGGTAAGTGTAGTTATAACTGTACTTATAACCTTATTAGGGCGCTGGGCACTTAAGGGGCTCATAAGTGGGTCTTAAGTACAGTTAGTAACTAACTACCCATGAACCTCTAAGTAGACAGCCACCATCGACCGGCGCTGCTTCCACACACAGTGTGTAGCACCACTTGCGACGGGACACTTTGACTGTAGCCCTAAACCCTAAACCCTAAACACCCTGAACACCCTGAACACCCTGAACACCCTAAACACCCTAAACCCCCTAAACCCCCTAAACCCCTTAAACCCCCTAAACCCCCTAAGCCCTCAATTGAGCTCCCCCTAAACCGAGAGGCCGCTGGTCAGCTCTCTCCACACCACTGGCGACCCCCCCTGCAGCTCCTGCTCCGCCAGTCGGGGCAGGCCAGTAAGGCTGTGAAGTTTAGGGTTTAGGGTTTAGGGTTTAGGGTTTGGGGTTCAGGGTTTAGGGTTTGGGGTTTAGGGTTTAGGGTTTGGAGTTTAGGGCTTAGGGTAGGCCCTTGGGACATTTTGTATTTTCCCTTATGTTTTGCAGATGGTTTAAGGGCCCTCCTCGTATCTCGCATGTCCCGAACTTGGCGGTCAAATTGAGTGTACTTATAAGGGGATTCGTCTTCTTTTCAGGGGTATAAAGGGGACCCTCATTTAATCATCGGAAGCTGCCGGGGTGTTCGAGTGCATGGACATCATTTTGTGGATTCTGGGCTTCGGGGTCCGGACGATGAAGGCTTCGGGGGTTTAGGGTTTAGGGTTTAGGGTTTAGGGTTTAGGGTTTAGGGTTTAGGGTTTAGGGTTTAGGGTTTAGGGGTTCCAAAAGCCCGACCCGAGACTTCGCTCACCATGCCAGTTGCGACGGTGACACAAGATGCGGAACAGCAAGTCGTGGTGCATCCGGCTCTGGTGTTGAAAATTACAGAAATCAAAAGCACCCTTATGACTAAACCTTGATATGCTTTGAATATAAATTTCAAATATAGTCACAAAAATAGCTCCTACAGAGTTTGAATATAAACTACCCAAAGTACCCATTCTAGGCACGCAGGCCGCGCTGCATGTGAGTTGCAACTTGGATCCATCTCAGGCGATGCAGGGTGTCTGGATTAGGGTGCAGAGCTTCAGCCTTTCGGATCCTGGTTTAGGGTTTATAGGGGCTTGAGTACGTTCAGAGTTCGGGTGCAGGGGTTGTCAACGGACTTCAACTTAGGGCTTAGGGTTTGTGATCTACCGTTGAAGGGCTAGCGGCTAGCGTTGAAGTGCTTCCGGCCAGGTGAACGTCACTTGGGAGTGCTGCGACGTGCCCGGAAGGTTGCGAGAGCGAAAGGGCTTTTTTTGGGGGTTTTGACTCCCTGAAATCAACATCCACCACCCCTTAGACGACTATTTGCATTAGGAACCACCGAAAAAATCAGAGATAATAATATTGCCCTTGTGAGGAAGAATTCTTTCATTTTGGGGGGGCTTCTTGAGGAAAAATATGGCTTGGAAAGCTGAGGAGTACCCCTGAACCCTAAACCCGAAACCCTAAACTAAACCGTCAACCCTAAACCCTAAAACCCAATGTTGTCGGATGCCGTTTTGTTTTTTGTAACTGTCGTAGCCCGTCGACGGAGCGGTGTTTGACGAGCAGCAGGATGGCACAGCTGAGTTTGTTCGCACACATGCCCCAAGAGTTGTGACGTCTGAGGTGCTTTAGGGCGTAGGGTTTAGAGTTTGGGGTATAATTAGGGTTTAGGGTTTAATTCGGGTTCAGGGTTTAGGGTTTAGCCAGGGTTTAAGGTTTAGGGTTCAATTAGGCTTTAGGGTTTGGGTTCCACCTTTGCTTCTTCCGCTTCTTTCGCCGCTTCCTGCCAGTGGCGCTCTCGCGGCCTTCGAAGTGCAGCTGGTGCCGGCGGAGCTCCAACACGTTCGGGCCCGAACTTCTTCGCAGTGTTTGGGGTTTAGGGAGTTTAGGGTTTAGGGTTCGTCGGATGTTCACTGGTGTCACTACAGGATCCGCAATCGGATGTATACTACAGGATCCAGAATCAGAATCAGAGTATCATGCAGACTATGCAAAGAATCCCTAAATCCTAAACCCCAAACCCCAAACCCCAAACCCTAAAACCTAAACCCTAAACCCCAAACCCCAACCCCCAAACCCCCAAACCCTAAACCCTAAACCCTAGTTCTTCGATCCTTTGCGGCAGGTGCGGCCTGCCTCTGACAGGCCGTTCGGCAAGAGTTGCAAGATGCGCTGGACCTATCCTCCAACCTGTGGTCCCTTTCCTTCGGGTGTAGGGTTTAGGGTTTAGGGTTTAGGGTTTAGGGTTTAGGGTTTAGGGTTTAGGGTTTAGGATTCAGGGTTTAGGGTTTAGGGTGTGGGGTTTGGGGTCTAGGGGCTTAGGGTAGAGTCACGTGGGATCTTCTCTCTTATGCTGGCAGTCCTTAGTACATTGCGAATATCTTTGCTGGACTATGATAGGGGGTAATATAGTCCCTATATGAAGGACTTTTTGCATAAGGGGGTACGTCCCAACTTGTATAACAGGGGCCAATAACTGCCCATGTTGCGTGCGTGTACCTCACTTGCCCTAAACCCTAGCCCTAAACCAAACCAATAAACCCCTAAGCCCCTAAGCCCCTAAGCCCCTAAGCCCCTAAACCCCTAAACCCCTAAACCCCTAAACCCCTAAACCCCTAAACCCCTAAACCCCTAAACCCCTAAACCCCTAAACCCTAAGCCCCTAAACCCATATTGCGGACTTGACAAGCCCTGAGCCCATTTGTTGCCTGTCGTTGATCGGCTCCATACTTGCCGCGTTCTCGGAATGATGGAGAGCATCATGACAAGCTGAGGGTTGCTCAGGAACTTGGGAATACAACACATCATTGACTTATAACATCATTGACTTATAACGGGTGCCCAAGCTACGAATCCACAAACCCTGAACTCCTAAAAGCTAGAATCGTATTTCTGAGCTCCCCAAAATTTGGACCTGCATTCAAGCTCATTCGAGTTCCTCGGAAGCAACCCAGCAGCTTGTCTTCGCGGCTGTGGAGGCGGCTTCTCTGCGAGCGCATCGCCGCTCAGAACATGCGGGCTGGTCAGAGGCCGAAGCACTTTTTTTCTGTTTTTCTTTGTGTTTTTATTTCTATTTTTTTTAAGTATTCTAGGACTTTTTGATTCAGGGTGTCAGGGTTTAGGGTTTTGGGGTTGAAGGCTTGCGGGAGGGTTGCATTTTTTGGGTGATTTAGGGTTTAGGCGTCATGGCACATCATGCTGCATCTTGCAGACTGGTTGGAGGATCTCTTGGGCAAAAGCCCTGGCAGCACCCGGCTACTACCTTATCGAGGCCAGCTACCGCATGTCGGTTTGTCCACCACATGCCCAGAACATGCCAAAGCTCGACCTAGCTGAGTTGCTCTGTCACATGTGAAAATTACCCTAAACCCTGGCCCTTAACCCTAAACCCTAAACCCTAAACCCTAAACCCTAAACCCTAAACCCTAAACCCTAAACCCTAAGCCCTAAGCCCTAAGCCCTAAGCCCTAAGCCCTAAGCCCTAAGCCCTAAGCCCTAAGCCCTAAGCTGCAAGCAGAAGCTGCGAAGGTAACAGCGGAAAATATTTCGGGGCAGCGAAGTGCGGCTGTGGCCGGCTTCCCAGGGCCTGCTTGACTCGGCAGCCCACTGGTACCCTTTCCCCCTTTCTTTGGAGGTTCAGGGTTTAGGGTTTAGGGTTTAGGGTTTAGGGTTTTAGGGCTTAGGGTTTTGGGGCTTAGGGTTTCGGGTTAAAGTGGCCAACCCACAAAAAGGGTATCCCCTGCGACAATGTGGTTACTGGGGGTACCAAGTTGTGAGGCAGTCCTCACGGAAACTTTGGTCAGTTCTGCGAGTCGTGGTCTCTCTCTCTGAGTTTTTAGGGTCCTTGGGAAATCATGGACCTTTTCAGCTGCAGGGTGCACCCCAAAAAGGACCCTAATTTTTCAGAGGGGACCATGTGCATCGATAGGGATGGGTCATCTGCTTCGTGCTGTGATTACATTACCCCCAAAATAGCCCCTAAATACCCGCTAAATCAAACCCTAAACCCTAAAACACCCTAAACCCTAAACCCTAAACCCTGAACCCTAAACCCTAATGTCCCTTATTATAAGGGTCGCTTGATGCCAGCAAGCTACTTGCCATCCCATCAAGACAGGTGCTCACGCTGGACGTACGCCCCGAGGCGTGGATGTGAGCGCACGGATTGCGGGTGTGGTGTGGGTTTAGGGTTTAGGGTTTAGGGTTTAGGGTTTAGGGTTTAGGGTTAGGGTTTAGGGTTTAGGGTTTAGGGTTTAGGGTTTAGGGTTTAGGGTTTAGGGTCTTTGATCTGGCAAATTTGGTGCTCGGTCCACAAGACCTCCCTTTCATCCACCAGGCATTTCCGCCGTCGATCGCCGAGCTTATCCCGCCGGTGCCGAAATGGTACGCCCCCTTTTTGAAGTTAGCGGCTTGCTCCGTTGTGTGTTCATGGCCCTGGCCTGTTAACTGCTAACTTAGGGTTTAGGGTTTAGGGTTTTAGGGTTTAGGGTTTAAGGTTTAGGGTTTAGGGTTTGGGAGGAAGGTGCCGGAGAACTGTAGTGTTTCTGCATGCTGGCTATGACTGTGCCTCAGCATGACGACCGCAGATCCAACCTCGAGCTTTCAGCCATCAACTCTTTTTTTCCAAAATCCGCTTCGCGCAAGTACCCTACGTCATGGTGTCAATTTCCCTTCCGAGTTCGGTGCTATTGGGCAGTGCACCCATACCATATCCACGAGCCGTTTTGGGGCGTGACGAGCCTGCGCATCACTTCCACACAGGACTCCCGCTCAGCAAGCAATCTTTGGGAAAGCCCGGTTGCCATGTAGGGTTTAGGGAAAGTTTAGGGTTGAGGGTTGAGGGTTTAGGTGTTTCTTGCTCTGACGGGTATTGAACTGACCATGCAGCAGGGTCAGGAGTCATGACTTGCAACATGGAGTGTATGTCCAGGGCTGAAGAATTCCAACAAGTGTGTGTTTCTTCTAATACGAGATGACAACCGAAACGAAGAGCGAAAGAAACACAAGCACGCATGGGCTTTCGTGCGTTGGTGAATGAATGAGTGTGTAACTTCGATTCCCAAAAGGAGGTAGCTGAAGCTTGTTGCTGCAAGTCTGTTTTGTCAAAGGGTTTAGGGTTCTGTCCCATCAGAGTCGGGCTCCTGGACGGATGATCCATGTGTACCCTGCGGACTTTTTTCGAAGACTCCAAGGGTGTCGCAATTATCGACTGGGTACGTCTGTGTTCCTGGTCGGACCCTCTATAACTCGCGTTGAGTTGGTAGCCCAGTGGCATCCTTTTTTTTTGGTTCTGGGTTCCCTTATAAGGTAACCAACCAAAAAAAGGGTGCCCTTATTATAGTCTGGTTACTGGGCTACTAAGTTGATCATTCCGTGAATCACTTCCCCACCCTGCAGGTTGGCTTCCTAAGCCAGCTCATAATCTGCTGGTTTAGGGGTTAGGGTTTAGGGTTCAGGGTTTGGGGTTCAACCCTTCTGCATGGAGTGCAGATCTGCTTGGGCACTTAAAGTACCGAATTTGCCCCAGCATGTAGACTTCATGCCAGAGCACACCGTGAGCGTTCGCCAAACTATTGATGATGTTGAGTCCGGACACAGTCGAGACCTTGTTCAGCATCTGAAATGGTGTCGCACAGTCAGAACCTTTACACTGAAAGTCGCATGTCGGTGGAGCAACATATGTTGGTAAGTCGAGACTCTGAAGCGCGGGGCAGTGGAGCAACCCGGAATTCCTGTTTAGGGTTTATGTTCGCCGCCCCCTGCCAAATTCGCAGGAACCAGGAGCTTCGTTGCCTGCGGCGTCTCGGGTGGATTTTGCGCAGTGACGCGGCGCAAGCAAGGTGGGAAATGCATCCGCAGTGCGCAGAGTCCCGCCGCAGAAGCACCAGGGAATACCATGTACCTGTGTGGAATTGCTGAGCTGGGATCTCGTGCAGACTATATAGAGAAGCATGTGCACAGATCACTGCACTCAGAAGTGTACAACTTGTCTGACGTGGAGTTGCACAGCCTTGGGACACATACATTCGCCACGCAAAGGGAGCTTCTGGACAGCTTCCAAGGCTCGGAGTGCTTCGGAACACGCAGCTTTTCAATGCCTCGGAAGAGTTTCTTGCAGCAGAAAATCCACGAAAGCCTGCGGAAGTCGGTGGGCACCCTATCCGACCAAGAGCTCTTGCAACTCAGCAAGTTCAAAGGCAACCAGCAGGAGGAAGAAGTGGTGCATATGGACGCCGGTCCTGCGCTAGCACTTGGGCGGGCGAGGCTAGCCCGCAGCCTGTATGTCGAGAAGTTCATACACAGCGACATACAAGATCAGCTGTCACCGTTGAGTGATGGAGCCCTATGTGTGCTCGGAAACCGAGCACGACAGGATCAGGCTGAGTTCCTCGAGCAAATTCTGAAGGCTGACGCTTTCCTGCCGGTTTCCCGGTCTCTTTGGCTCTCCAGGGTCAGTAAGAATCAGGAGCTCAGGCCGAAGATGAAAGTGCTCGGGCAACTCTGCGACTATGAGGTTTTTCACCTGGGCCGAGGGAAGAAGGGCATTGAGAAATACCAAGCGCGGCTGCAGGCTATGGAGGAGGAGCAGGAGGAGGAGTTGACTGCGAAAGGAAGCGTAGCCGAATCCAAGGCAGCTGGAGATGAACCCAAGTCTTCCTCCATCTTGACAGGCGTTCTCGAAGCCCTTGAGGACGACGAGCTTGAGCCTGTGTTTGTCATCGCAGCACCCGAAGAAGCTGAGCAAAGGCTGACCATGGACTGGGCGAAGTCCCTTCATCAGAACGTCGTGGGAGTTGCGGCATCTGGGTGCCTCGTGCGCCATGGGCGCCTTGAGCACATTGCCATTTGTGCAGAGAAAGAGGAGCCCGTGGTGGTAGACATCAAAGGGCTTTCGCAGCACTGCTCGGAAGAGCGTCTCTTCGGGGAGCTGTTGCAGCCGCTGAAGGAGGTGTTGGAGAGCCCGCAGGTTGTGAAGGTTTGCCACGACTGCCGCCCGGTGGCTGACCTCCTTGCTGATACATATGACGTGCGGCTGGGCCTCTGCTTTGACACCGTGGAGGCATGGGAACGCCTTGAGTCAAAGCAGCAGCGACCTGTGGATCTTGAAGAGCTCGCACGCAAGTACGACCATGAGCTGTCGAACGCACTCCAAGAGGACGCAAAGCGGCAAAAGCCAGCGACTGCGAGACTTTGGCATAGTTGGGTACCATTTTACCTTTTCAAGGGTACTTAAACCCAATAAGCAATATAAACTTAGATTTGTAGTACTATCCCAACCATGAACTAGGAGAGTCTATGACTTCATGGCAAGCTCCTCCTCCAGTTCGTGCACCGAGCCCGTGATCTCCTGGAAGCCGGAACTCCTGGCGATGATCGCAGAGACACTTGTCAGAATGTCTGGTGAGATGGGTGGAGCACTTCAGCAGCAAGCCGACTTCCCAGATGCTTGCCGACAGCGCCTGGAGGACCACTGCGGCAGTCGTTGTGCAGAGCCAACTTGATGAATTTCTACAAGCCCTAACCCCTTTCTTGTGCGCGCTCGCGTGCGCGGGCGGGGAGGGGGGTGGGGGTGGGAGGGGAGGGGGGTGGGAGGGGGGGTTGTGGTGGGAGGTGGTTGGGGGGGGGGGGGGGGGGGGGGGGGGGGGGGGGGGGGGGGGGGGGGGGGGGGGGGGGGGGGGGGCAAGTCGGCTTCACTTTTCAGTGATAAAGTCCTTGCACAAGGAGTTTCGGTCTTGGCCCGGACAGCACTTGGATGCCTACCCGCTGGGCCACTCGACCGCAGTTTGGCTGAGGTTTTGGGGCTTAGCTTACTGGCTCAAAACCCAACTTTTCAACTTTTGGGCTTCTTTTCAGGTAGTTTATTCTGAAAGTTTCAACTTTTATTTCCTGGGTTTTTGGGCCAGTAAGTTAGTTAGGCTTGTATGGGCTTGCGTTGTATTGTATTCTATTCTATTCTATTCTATTCTATGCCCTTTAGTAAATTAAGTACATCATCGTCGAAACCTGAGAATGCATGCCCGGTTCATGTGAGGGGGTTTGTCCTTTTTTCACACCCTAAACTAGAAGGACTAGACCACTACGGAGACCTCCCCCCAAAACGGTGCAGGAGACCCCAACTCCCAAGCCCCCTTTGGCCCTAAACCGATTTCAGCCCTATAAATCCAATGAACCCTACAGACCCTCTATACAAAATATGATATATACATATGTATGGCATATGTACTTGTTCATATTTGTATTTCTTTTGGGTTATTCAACCTTTATTTCTATTTATGCTAGTACCCGCGAGCATTTTAAAAATTGCAATGCCAGTTTGGATGTAGGTATTGGATTATCTTTTTTATTGCACGACGTTAAACGCCAAGCCCTACATACCCAATACACCCTATGAACCGAAAACCCGGGACCCTAGAAGCCCTAGGGACCCTAGAAGCCCTACAAAGCCCTAAACGCCCTTCACGCCCGGTTTAGGGTTTAGGGTTTAGGGTTTAGGGTTTAGGGTTTAGGGTTTAGGGTTTAGGGTTTAGGGTTTAGGGTTTAGGGCCCCCCCCTCCCCACCCCTGCCCAGGTGCAGAACTTGAGTTCATGTTCGTGAATGACCGGCTGTGCATCGGTCGGCCACCCAGCCCGGCATGCATTCTCTTGAGGGCTGCGGAATTTAGGTCACCCTCCTTTTTGATCCTTTTTGTTCAGGGTGGAAACTTTGTAAGGGATTCCACAAGAGAAGTGAGCCACATGTACAAGAGTCCCCACTTGTACTTGCTGTACCCTAAACACTAAACCCTAAACCCTGAACCCCTGAACCCCTGAACCCCTGAACCCTAAACCCTAAACCCTAAACCCTAAAGCCTAAACCCTAAACCCTAAACCCTAAACCCTTCTCTGACGGCTGAGTCTCCGGGGAGCCCGATGAGGAGAACAAGATGTTGACGGAGCCAGGCGACGAACACGTCAGAGAAGAGTTCGAAAAGCTCATTACCCTGCTTCCGGAAGCTCCGTTGCTCGGTAGGCCCTTGGGGATATGTTTTGAACTTTCCCAAGTTGGGGTTTAAGAGGACCAGAATTTAGGGATCTCTTTTTTCAGAGCGTTTCAAGGGCCATCTTATATATGTTAACTTGCCCTTCTGGTGTTGAAGAGGACCTTTTCCCTTGAAGGGGCCATCCTAGGTTGCCCTTTTCCCTAAACCCTAAACCCTAAACCCTAAACCCAAAACCCTACCCCCTAGACCCTAAACCCTAAACCCTAAACCCTAAACCCTAAACCCTCATCCTAGGTTGAAGAAGGTGCGAGACTTCATCGGTCAGAAAGTTGGCGACGGCAACGTGGTGGAGATCGTGCTCGGAGTGGGCCGCGACATTGAGATCCGGTGGCGGTCCTTGCTGGAAGGGGGCCTTAAGAAGGCTGGGCTATACGAAACTCACAATCCCCGCAACGACCCCTGTTAAAGGGCCTTTTGAGGGGTATGGAGTAAAAGAGCCCAACCCGCCTATAATCCCCACAATGACCCCTTTTAAAGGGCCTTTTGAGGGGTTATGGAGCATAATAGCCCGTCCTGGCCAGAAGGCCACCGTGCAGAGCACTGAGCTCTTCAGCCGCGATATCAGCGAGGTGATCGACAGGATCGGGGAGGACCGCTTCAATCGGCAGGATCGGGCAGGAATCGATCGCACACTCCACAGATTGTCTGTCACTCGCAATGAAGTGGGGCGTCCTGTCGCCGTCACGATGAGAGTTGGCCGCGACTCGCGGATGCTGGCCTCCATGATCGAAGCTTTGTTATAGTGGGGTAACATTTTAAATTTTTAAGGGCATTGAAACTCAACAAGGAATAATTAGAAATGTATGTTTTTAATACTATCCCAACCATGAGTAGGAAGACATCATTGCAGACGGAAGCTCCTTCTTGCTCCTGGGCCCACCCGGGGTCGGCAAGACCACCCTGTTGCGAGCCTGCGCAGGAGACCTCTCAACAGACAAGGTGGTGGTGATCGTGGATCCTAGCGGTGAGATCGCAGGGTCTGGTGACACCTGCCATCCAGCTGTAGGCAGGGGTTTTACGAGATCAGTAATGATTAGGGGTACCTTCTTGGGGTCCCTATTACCAAGGGATCCGACTCTATTCGGGGTCCCTTCTTCTCCCTAAACCCTAAACCCTAAACCCTAAACCCTAAACCCTAAACCCTAAACCCTAAACCCTAAACCCTAAACCCCCAGGTGAAGCCTGGAAGGATGCTGCGTACTCCGAGAAGGAGGTCGATCGAAGTGAGGCGCGACGCCTGGCCATGGGCCGCGCCCTCGAAACTCGGTGGGACATTACTACAACGGTTTAGGGTTTAGGGTTTAGGGTTTAGGGTTTAGGGTTTAGGGTTCCTCTAATTTCATATTGAGGGAGCTAAGCGTTAGACTTTTATTGGGTGGTTCAAGAGCAACCAAGGAAAACATGGGCCCTCAAGTCATCGTGGTCGACGAGATCGGCACATTGGGGGAGGCCAGGGCAGCTCGCACAATCGGCGAGCGACTCGGTAGGGTTTTGGGATATTTTATATTTTCCTTTATTGGGTTTCAGAGGATCACATGTATAACTTTTTCTAAAGGGATTTATAGCGGCCATCCTAGGCGAGGTGTGCAGCTTGTTGCAACGGCGCATGGGAAGACCCTGCCTGACCTCATCGCCAACTCTGAGCTCCGGGATCTCATTGGCGGCCTCAAAGCGGCCATCCTCGGTGATGACAACGAGCCTTAGGGGTACTTGGAATTATATTTTTTTGCAAATGTTTTTGGGCACTATAATTCCGATAAGAAACAGATAGAAACAGCATGAAAAGTGATTTTTGATATAGTTCCAAGCCCAATGCAGGAGCGCTACAAGATGCAAGGGCGCAAGAACATCACCGAGCGCGGTGCCGCGCCCGCCTTCAAGAAGCTCGTGGAGATTCGGAGCCCCACTTGCCTGGTTATCCACCATGACCTGGGCTACGCAGTGGACCAGGTGCTCGAGAAGGGCACCCTGAATGTGGAGGAGCGAACTTTGGATGCATCATCCGGCAGGATGATGGTCAAAGTTCGTGATTTTTCAAAGCGCTGAGTCGTACAGGCGAATCTGCTCCTTCACCCGCTTGCAAAAGCATGTTGAAGGAGCAGATTCAGCACCACGGTTATTTTCGCAAAACGTGTGGAGGAGACCGGGTCGGGTGTTTGCTCTAAGCCGAAAGCAGGCGCTAGGTGCAATCAGATGTGCGAAGTCTCCCTGCACTGTTTAGCAGATGCTTTTATCCATTCGGCGCTCCGGCGCCGGCTGCCAAGCGTTCTCCTAGACTGATTATGTACTACGGTGTTGATCTCTTCTGTATGTACTATGGTATAGTAAGTGCTCAGTGTATATTGTATACATATCTCTCTCTATATATATGTATATATATACATATATATATGTATATATATATGGTCACCCCCCCCCAATGGACCCACCGCGGGCCTTGATCTTTGCAAAAGTACCGCAAATACCGATAAAACCTCTGCTGTCTGGTGATTTTCCGGTGACCGGATTTTTGACTGTATTCCTTAATTCACCCTCTCACACACACACACACGGAGGGTTTTTCTTTCTGTTGGCTTTTGTTTATAATTTAAGATCTAGGCATTTAAACCTAAGCCTGCAAAAAAAACCTTAACCTTAAGCCCTGTAGGGTTAAGGTTTAAAGGTTAAGGGTTTAAGATTTAGGCATTTGAACCTATGCCGGTAATTAAAGCTAAGCCCTTAACCTTTAAATTCTATAGGGTTAAGATTTTTACAGGTTTAGGCTTTAAGATGTAGGCATTTAAACCTAAGCCTGCAACTAATGTTAAACCCTCAACCTTTAAACCCTGTAGGGTTAAAGTTTAAAGGCTTAGGGTTTAATATTTAGCAATTTAAACCTGTAGCCAAGCCCTTAACCTTTAAACCCTATAGGGTTAAGATTTTTAAAGGTTTAGGATATAAGATGTAGGCATTTAAACCTAATTAAGCCTGCAACTAATTTTAAACCCTTAACCTTTAAACCCTGTTGGGCTAAGGTTTAAAGGTTTCGGGCTTAAGATTTAGGCATTTAAACCTATTCCGGCAATTAACGCTAAGCCTTTAACCTTTAAACCCTATAGGGTTAAGATATTTAAAGGTTTAGGGTTTAAGTTTAAGGTTTAGGTATTTAGACCTATGCCGGCAGTTCATATTGAACCCTTAACCCCTTAAACCCCATAGGGATGAGATTTAAAGGTTTAGGATTCTTTACTTAAACATTTAAATCTAAGCTGACGATTCGACCTAAACCCTTAACCTTAAAACCCTATAGGGTGAAGGTTTAAAGTTTTAGGGTTTAAGATTCAGACATTTAAACCTAAGACAGCGATTAACACTAAGCCCTTAACCTTTAAACCCTATAGGGTTAAGGTTTAAAGAATTGGGGTTTAAGATTCAGGCATTTAAAGCTAAGTATGTAATCAATTTGTCACCCTTAACACCTCTAAACTCTGTAGTGTGAAGGTTTCAAGGCTTAGGGTTTAAAATTTAGACATTAAAACCTAAGCCCATAGAGTTTAAACCTTAAGGGTTTAAGGTTTACGCATCTATTCCTTAACCCTAAACCCTCTAGGGTCAGGACCCTAAAGCCCTCGGCAATCAAGCCTAAACCCTTGACCTTCAAACCCCATAGGATGAAGGTTTAAAGGTTTGGGGTTTAAGACTTAGGCATTTAAACCTAGAGGGCATTTAAGCCTTAACCCTAAACCCTTTAGGGTCAGAACCTTAGCACCCTATAGGGGTCTAGCACGTTCAAAGGCTTGAACCCTACAGGCGCTGAAGGTATACATGTCCTATCGGTTTTTAAACCATTACACCGTGTAAGAAGGTTTAGGGTCTTTTCGGGGTCTATCTCTAAATTTCTCACGGGGTTAACCCTGCAGGGTTTAAAGTTAAAGGTTTAGGGTTAAAGGTTAAGGCAATACCTATAGGATTAGAACCTTATAACCCTGTAGTGCATGAGGCTTAAACCCCTAAAACTTAACCATCTTTTTCTCGAGAAAACCAAAAAAACCAAAAAAACCAAAAAAAACCAAAAAAACCATCTTTTCCAAAACTATGGGGCTGGGGCCTCCAAAAGATGGTTTTTTTGGTTTTCTCGAGAAAAAGATGGTTTTTTTGGTTCGAAACCATCTTTTTCTCGAGAAAAAGATGGTTTTTGAGCAGCCGCTCTTCGAAAAACCATCTTTTTCTCGAGAAAAAGATGGTTTTACCAGGACAAGACCTCCAAAAACCATCTTTTTCTCGAGAAAAAGATGGTTTTACCAGGACAAGACCTCCGGAAACCATCTTTTTCTCGAGAAAAAGATGGTTTTTCCAGGACAAGATCTCCAAAACCCATCTTTTTCTCGAGAAAAAGATGGTTTTTCGAAGAGCGGCTGCTCAAAAACCATCTTTTTCTCGAGAAAAAGATGGTTTCGAACCAAAAAAACCATCTTTTTCTCGAGAAAACCAAAAAAACCATCTTTTGGAGGCCCCAGCCCCATAGTTTTGGAAAAGATGGTTTTTTTGTTTTTTTTGTTTTTTTTGGTTTTCTCGAGAAAAAGATGGTGTTTTGGTTCGAAGGGTGGTTGCTCCAAAACCATCTTTTTCTCGAGAAAAAGATGGTTTCGAACCAAAACACCATCTTTTTCTCGAGAAAACCAAAAAAACCAAAAAAACCATCTTTTCAAAACTTGGGGCTGGGGCCTCAAAAGATGGTTTTTTTTTGGTTTTCTCGAGAAAAAAGATGGTTTTTTTGGTTCGAAACCATCTTTTTTCTCGAGAAAAAGATGGTTTTTGAGCAGGCCGCTCTCGAAAACCATCTTTTTCTCGAGAAAAAGATGGTTTTTGGAGATCTTGTCCTGGAAAAAAAACCATCTTTTTTTCGAAAAAAGCTGGTTCGGAGTCTTGTCCTGGTAAAACCATCTTTTCTTCTCGAGAAAAAGATGGTTTTTTGTTCGAAGAAGTCGCGGGCTCAAAAACCATCTTTTTCTCGAGAAAAGTGGTTTCGAACCAAAAAAAACCTCTGTTTTCTCGAGAAAAACCAAAAAAACCATCTTTTGGAGGCCCCAGCCCCATAGTTTTGAAAAGATTGGTTTTTTTTTGGTTTTTTTTGTTTTTTTTTTTTTCTCGAGAAAAAGATGGTGTTTTGGTTCGAAGGGTGGTTGCTCAAAACCATCTTTTTCTCGAGAAAAAATGGTTTCGAACCAAAACACCATCTTTTTCTCGAGAAAACCAAAAAAACCAAAAAAACCAAAAAAACCATCTTTTCCAAAACTATGGGGCTGGGGCCTCCAAAAGATGGTTTTTTTGGTTTTCTCGAGAAAAAGATGGTTTTTTTGGTTCGAAACCATCTTTTTCTCGAGAAAAAGATGGTTTTTGATCAGCCGCTCTTCGAAAAACCATCTTTTTCTCGAGAAAAAGATGGTTTTTGGAGATCTTGTCCTGGAAAAACCATCTTTTTCTCGAGAAAAAGATGGTTTCCGGAGGTCTTGTCCTGGTAAAACCATCTTTTTCTCGAGAAAAAGATGGTTTTTGGAGGTCTTGTCCTGGTAAAACCATCTTTTTCTCGAGAAAAAGATGGTTTTTAGAAGAGCGGCTGCTCAAAAACCATCTTTTTCTCGAGAAAAAGATGGTTTCGAACCAAAAAAACCATCTTTTTCTCGAGAAAACCAAAAAAACCATCTTTTGGAGGCCCCAGCCCCATAGTTTTGGAAAAGATGGTTTTTTTGGTTTTTTTGGTTTTTTTGGTTTTGTTTTTTTTTGGTTTTGTTTTTTTTGGTTTTTGTTAGTTTCTTGTTTTGTTGTTTTTTGCCTTGATCTGGCTAGGACTCGGCTGCCATCCGCGGTGGGTCCATTGGGGGGGGGTGAGCTATATATATATACATATACATATGTATTTATATATATATATACATATATGAATGTATCACCTTCTCTTTTTGACACGTTGTTGACACGCTTCCGACGCTCGCGGGCTCCAGCAGCTCGGCCTCGCATGGAACGAGCGCTTGGAGCTCGGTGACGCGGGGAGCGATGGGTGCAACGTGTATCCCCAAACCCTAAACCCTAAACCCTAGACCCTAAACCCTAAACCCTAAAGGCCCTAAACCCTAAAGGCCCTAAACCCCCAACCCCCAATCTTCCTGAGCCACTAAGCTGCAGGCATGGAGAACAAAGGCCGGTCCTCATGCACTGAAGCTCTGCCGCCTCCCCCTCCCCCCCCCCAATGCTACAACACCACAGGGCCCAAAGCTCAGCTTAGGGTTTAGGGTTTAGGGTTTAGGGTTTAGGGTTTAGGGTGTAGGGTTTAGGGTTTAGGGTGTAGGGTGTAGGGTTTAGGGTTTAGGGTTTAGGGCTTACGCCTTAGGGTTTAGAGTTAAGGGTTTAGGGCCAGGGTTTATTTAGGGTTTTGGGTGCAAACCGGAATAACTACGCCCCAGAAGGCATATAACCCTGTAGCCGTCCCCCTTGACCGGCAAACCCTAAACACAAACACGCCGAAGCCCTAAGCCCTGAACCTGGAAACCCTGAAGCCCTGAAGCCGTGAAGTCCGCACACCTTGAAGCACCAAAGCCCTAATGCCCTGAAGCCCTGAACCCTTCAAGCTCAAAACCCCCAAGCCCTAAGCTCTAAAAACCCCCAAAGCACTGAAGCTCTGAAACCCCTAAACCCCAAACCCCAAACCCTAAACCCTGAACCCTAAACCCCAAACCCTAAACTCTAAACCCCCAAGCTCCCAACCGCCAGGAGTGATGAGGCGCTGTTGGCCCTAGGCCCGGCGTCGTCCACGGCGCCGCGCTTCGCGGACCTGGACGCAGGCGCTCTGGCCTACGAGATTGGCCTGGTTTAGGGTTTAGGGTCTAGGGTTTAGGGTTTAGGGTTTAGGTTAGGGCTTAGGGCTTAGGGCTTAGGGCTTAGGGCTTAGGGCTTAGCTTAGGGCTTAGGGCTTAGGGCTTAGGGCTTAGGGCTTAGGGCCTAGGGCCTAGGGCTTAGGGCTTAGGGCTTAGGGCTTAGGGCTTAGGGCTTAGGGCTTAGGGCTTAGGGCT